CCTGCTTGCAGGAAGCGAATCGGAATAACGAGCAAGTAAGTAGAATACAAAGTGATTTGCCTCGAATCGGTCGGTGACACGACACGTTCAAAAATAGCATGAACCTCGAGCTTGGCGCAACGATTTATCATCGAGATCCGATGCTGAGCTTGATCAATGACGAAAATCGATAAGAAGCAAGAAGCGTCTCTTCCTCTCGACGTTGAGACGTCGTTCATTGAATGAGCAGAGCATAACTGAAGCAATGACAATGAAAAATTGTCGACATTTTAAATTGTTACTACTTCGTAAAAGGATATCGCATAAGAATCCAGTTGAATTCGTTTCAAAGCGTGAAGCTTTCATTTTACCTGTCCTGAGTCCGTATTTCTCAAAGATATTTCTGCGACGTAGCAGAGTGGGGAAGTAAGGACGTTTCTATCGAAAATTGTAAGAATCTATACGTCTCTGCCAACATTGAAAAATTTTTTTCCTGATTAGATCCAACACGGTCTTGAAGATTGAAACTTTCTCTTTACGACGATCTCCTGGAAACTTGCTGTACGATTTTCTGAAGATTAAAGTTAGACGACGAAATGATAAGATTTCTTGAATTTTCTTGTTGTTCGATCCTAAGATTTAATGTTGAATAAAATAGCAAAGAAGAATCTATAACTATAATTAGTTTTAAGGGGACGTTGTAAAGGGAAAACTTCAATCTTCGAGATTATGGTGGTTTAATCAAAAATTTTTCAGTGATTTCAGAGACAATTGAATTTTCACAATTTTTGGAAAATAAGAGTATCCTCATTTTTCCACCTGCTGTAATAACATCTTTCGATACAAAATATCTTTGAAAAATATATATATATATATAAAACTATCAAACTTGGAACTATCAAAGTAAACTTTATGCTTTAAAATGAGAGCAAACGGATTGTCAAACGATTTTTTCGCAGAATGTTACAGCAGTTTAAAGTGAAGTATTAACAATTTTTCATTTACTTGTGGATAGTTATACTCTTCGCTGTATATAGATTTTTTAATTGCCATTAACATTAAAGTATATAAAAAATACATAACATTATAGAAACATTTTGAACAATTAATGTTAATTTAAACAGTCTTTCAAATGTTTTTTAAATGTATATAACATAAAATATTCGACATATAAAATATAAAATATACAATAGTTATTTTATATAAATTCGTTTAAGTATTATCTATGTATGAGTAAGAAAATATTAGAAAATTGTTTGTATTAACTTAATCACCCAAAATGCTTCTAATTGTGTTCATTCTCTGTATATTTTAATATTAACATTAATTTCATTAATTAAAAATTATCACCGGTTCACTTATTCTTCTCACTCGATAAATGATCTCGATCAAATAAAAATTCCTTGTTTGAACGATATAAAAAACATGATTGACTTGATAAATATCTCGAAGGTGAACGATAAGATATTTTCAAAGGAAAGTAAATATAACTCAAGTAAGAAATTTTCTAAGTTTACGGATTGTGAAAGAGAGAAGATGCGTAGTTTCTACTTTTAATTTCTCGCAGCAACCTCGACCTATCGCTCAAGTTATGCTCGTTAAAGCATGGATGCTGTAATATTGAACAAGCGAAAGATAGCAAACTCTTTTATGTTTTCACAGAAGCTATTGATTGAAAACTGTCGGTATTTACAAATGATTAATGCTACTGATCTTACGTAACGTCGTAACAATTTTCCACGATTTTTGATCTCACGAGAGATGAAGAACCTGTTTCTTAAAAAAAAAAAAAAAAAAAAAA